AAGTCCTCTCTATCTGTCTCTCTGCCTTTCAGATTAAATAAATAAATACCAAGTGCTTTGAGCATTTTTTTTCCACCCAGAAATGCAGTAAGCAGCTCTGTAAGCTAAGCTGACAGACCAAGAATTCTGGGAACCAGCACTGCATTCTGTGCCAAGAAAGATCTCCCCAGGACACACCCACCTTGCATAGTTTTCCCTACCCAGAGGGTTTTGATTATCATACCTACAAACAAAACAGGGTGGGACGCATAGAAAGATTAAAACAGCATCCCCATAATCTATAAAGTCAGAGGGATGTCTGCCAGCTGAAATACCATTAAAAAAAAAAAAGGATCAACAGGTTTGATAGCAAACAGGTCAAGGTGCGGGCACCTTCCTGTGGTGGACACCTTGACTCTGAGTCCACTGGCCACATTCTACAATGTGCAAGGAATGACACAACCTCCCCAGGGCACAGCCTATGGCAAGGGGGCTTTGATTCCAGGCTCTTCGGAGGCCCCACAGCCCTAAGCCCTGGAGCTGAATCCATAGCGATAACCATGGGAACCCCTCAGAAGGGTCTTGGGGTCAAGAGCAGACCTGAACCCAGCAAAGCTCAGGTTGACGGGGCCTGCGTTGTGGCACCAGTGGGTTAAGCTGCTGTCTGCAATGCCCATGCCCCTTAGTGGAGCACAGGTTCCAGCCCTGGCTGATCCAGCTCCCTGCTAATGCACCTGGGAAGGTAGCAGAAGATGGCCCAAGCACCCACATGGGAGACCCGGATGGAGCTCCTGGCTCCTGACTTCAGCTTGGCCCAGACTTGGGTTTTGTGGCCATTTGGGAAAATGAACCAACAGATTGAAGATCTCTCTTCTCTCTCTCTCTCTCTCTCTCTCTCTCTCTCTCTCTCTCTCTCTCTTTCACACACACACACACACATACCACACTCTACCTTTCAAGTAAATAAATAAATCTTTCAAAAATAGGTTGGCATCAGGCAGTGACACGAATTCATTTTAGGAATGAAAGTATGGTGGTCCCTAAGTTATACACTTCAGATAAAAAGACATTCCCCGTATATTGGAAGACAGGACACAGTGGGTTAGGGAAATGTTGCACACAGATGGGGGTACTTCACAAAAATTCGTGGAAATGGCATTGAACAGTAACTTCCTTTTGGTGGGAAAAAAAAAAAGAGTGAGGTCTGTATGAACCCTCCCAGGTCTCATTGCCAGCATCAAGGGGCTCTGTCCACCTGGGAGGCGGGCGCCCATCCTGGCTGCATGTCCTTCATCCCCACACTCTGGGAGAGCCCAGGAGCGGGGCGGGGGCCTCTGCCTCCTTCCATTGCCCTCTGGGTTGATCCACTCTCTGAGAGTCCCAGGTTTCCTCCTGCGCCTGCAGTGGGGTCAGCGGCCAGCAGGAGGTGGATGGGGTCCCACTGCACACTGCTTCACAGGGGCACGGGTAACATCCCAGAGCCGGCACCAGCACCACCATAGTGGCACACCGCCCCCTTCCTGTGGCCTACGTCTGGATGAGAACTTTCACAAAGCTCATGGGAGACTGAGAGCCAGAGAAAAGTCTGTGTTGGTGCAAAACCCGAGTTTGAATTCCACGCGTGCCGCACACAAGGGTCTTCCCAGTGAACTCAGAGTGTTCCGGAGACAGGGAGCTGCTGGGACAAAAGGCTTGGAGGCTGCCATTCTGAGAGGCGGGCCTGAGGAGGTGCCAGGCGCACTCAGACCCGGCTGCGCGAGAGGCCACTCTGCCTGCACCCACTCCCTGTGCCCCTCCTGCTCTGAGCTGGCACCAGCCGCCCCTGCACCCTGGAGGCCCTCCATCACGGGCACCACTGGCTGCCCACGCATCCCGGGCCCAGCACGAGCAGGTGCACACCCATTCTCTGCCCCCAGGACTTCCCTTCCTCCTGCCCCTCAGCCAGCCTCTCCCAGGGCCGCAGCCTCTCATGGACTGACCACAACTTCCTGCTCTCCTGGCCTTTCAGACTCCCACAAAGCCAGAGGGACACTTTGGCTGCATTCAGCCTCCAGCCCTCCCCTGCCCCCACTGCCGTTGGGCCCTTGGCCTCTTCATCCCCGCTCCCAGAAAATCTTAACCCCTTCAACCCAGCTCCCCAGCCTGCACCGCACCTGTCAATCCCACCCTTGAGCCCAGGAGAAGCCGGCACCCCCAACCCTAACCGGCTAGAAAGCCCGACATGGAGATGGACAGGTGTCACCTCTTGTTTGGAGCCCACCACGTGAGGCCAGGGTGGAGGGTTTTCACGACCCCTCCTCCTGAGCCCTGCCCGCCTCTCACACGCACTATGTGACTTAAATCCCCCATGGCACATAACCGACGGCGCCAATGACATGGAAGCCACGGGAATGCATCCCCTGACTTCGAGAGCTGCCCACTGAGTGCTGGCTGCAGCTCCTTCGCCTGGCTCTCGCGTGGGGCTCGAATCCTGGGATCCATCCCACCTTCCAGGGCTCTGGCACTCTCAGTCCTTCCCTCCTCCCGTGAGGTGCTCCCAGCCTCCACATCATTCATGACACACCCTCCCCAAGCCCGCATGCCTTGTCTGTCTTTGCACCCATCCACGCTGCTCCAAGACTTGTCCCCACTCATTTCCTCCTCTGCTGGGGAGCCCCCAGCCCCGCTTCAGTCCAGGTCTGTGCCCACCATCACCACTTATGTCCCTGTGAGTCTGTGTGGGGGCAGGGAACCCCCGAGGGTTGGCAGAGCCACGTCCTGCATGTCACAGCCCCAGATCAGCGTGTGTCATGGGTGGGAGAGACAGCTCGGGTCTTGGGACACGGTGAAAGTGGCCTGAGGACTGATCAGGTGCTGGAAGGTGCGTGTGTGTGTGCACGTGTGCACCTGTGTCCAGATGAGTGACACCCATGTGAGGTCAGGTGGTATGGGCAGCCTCACGCTCACTTCTCTGTCCCCTCTGAGGCCGGTGTGGTTGTGCGCAGCTGTGATAAAGTGAGAACCACACCAGGTTGGCTATGAGTCACTCCTATGTGACCATGGCTGTACCCCTCAAACATGTGAGCCGCGAGATCTGTAAACGGAGAGGACGTTGGAACTGGGGCCCACGCTTGAGAAACACTGGCAAAGCTGATTAGACACCTAGTGGGAGACAGAAGTGGAGGCTCGGCACCTGCCCAGATGCTCAGCCAACAGCCATGCCAAGGTGGCCGCCGGCTCACGCCTCAGCACCCACGTGCTCCAGGCTTCCTTTGACGGGCTGCAGGCAGAGGAGTGGCCCCAGGCACCTCGCCACCAGGGGCTAGAGCCCAGGTGACCATCCTCCATCCTGCCGTGATACGGTGAGGTGGCCTCTGGGATCCTACACACTCAGCCCTTAAGTAACAGCATGTGTGGGAAGCATGCCCCAGCTTCTCTCTCTCTCTTATTTGTAGTGTGGAGGGGGAAGGATACAGCTTGTAGAAGCCCAGGTCTGAGCCCCGACTGTGTCAGCACTGGCAGACTCGTGAGTTGGTTACACAGTCTAGGGTTTCTGTCTCCCTGGGGTCGGGCCTCAGACAGCCGGCTCTTTGTTTGCCTGCTGTTATTGACATTGACCTTCGGTGTCACACAGCTGTCACTCCTCATCTCAGTCCCGGGAGCCCGGGAATCACCATTTCCTGAGGGCAGTGGGCTCTGGAATGTTGTCTCAAGGGGGACTGACACAGCAGAATCAAAGTGACTGCTTCTCCAAAAGGGGCCGCGGACGGCAGGAGAACCCCAGCACCCGTATTTCAGAGGTTCACGAACACAGGGACCCCTGCTCCTACAATGTAGCCTGAGAGATGGCTGGACATCCAGGCCGGGGAAGGAACAATGCACGCCTTTGTGGTGCAAACGCTCGTCTTGTGTTGATGCTAAACTCCAAAGCCATCAGCGAGCGAAATGCAGAGGAAGGGTCCCCTCTACGGCCACACCCCAAGCTGAAGCTGCAAGAAGGAAGGTGAGGGTCTCCCGCAGGGCAGTTTGCTGCGGATGTGGAGACTCTGGGAATCCCTGGAAAGTAGCAAGGTCAACGTCCTTGCCGGACCCGTGGGAAAGGGAGCTGGAGTTACAACCACAACCATGTCAGCTAAGAGCCGAAGGCACCGCAGCCATGGGAACCAGCAGCCCGGGGTGCGTCACTGGGCTCAGCGCTCCTTCTCAACGCTGCTGCAAACAATGGGGACCCTGGGGCGTCTCCACCGGTGGGGGTGTCCAGGAGAAAAGCCACTGTCACCTGCATCAAGGTTTCAAGTTCACCAAGCATCGCACGCGCGCGCGCACAAGGGCGGCTTGGAGGTCTGGCTGACGGGCAGGAATGTCAAGGCATGGAAAAGTGCACGCAGATGGGAATTTTGCTCAGAACGATGGAATTATCTGTGCTTGTACATCGCATTGCCAAAGTGCCTATCATACCTGAAGCAAAGCAAAAGCAAACAAAAGTCTCGAGGCTGGGTTTGTCTTATCTTTCATGCATGTCCCGGACAGATCGGTCCCAGCAGCTGTGATCTGGTTCCCTCTCTGCCTGGTGACAGCCCCACGCACAGAGCCCGGCTCCAGATGCTGCCACGTGGCCAGCGAGGGACACGGTCCTTAGAACACAAGCCAAGGTTTATAGCCTGCACTCGGGAACGGGGCCACCCATATGTCTCTTATTTCCGCGGCGCTGGTTATAAAAAAAAAAAATTAGTGAGACGCGAAAGGACTTCTCTTACTTTCAACTGGAACTCTAGGTCTGTCTTTTCCAAAGGAATGCATTAAAGTTGGCAGGCACTGTTCAACTTCAAAAGCAAGTGGAGTTAAGAACTTGCTGCCGAATGTTCTGATAGTTGAGGCTGGGGCCAAGCTTGGCAGACGCAGGCACACGAGGAGGGCACGAGAGGGACAGAACCCAACCACGTCTTCTTCCCCAGCAAACGACAGGAAACCCCTCTACACCCCAGCACGGTGATTGCTGGCGGCTGTCCTCCTTCAATCCTGGAAAAGTAAAATCAGCTTACCTTGAGAATTTACTGGGGCCTTCGCCATCTTCGTCGTCAAAGTCCATCCTGCAAAGGCAAGAGCACAGTGTGCATTGGTCACGGGTGGAACATTTTACCGGGAATGCGACCTGCTGGCACAAAGGGAGATTTAATCAACCAGGAGGATGTGCAGCTGTCCCAGGCTTTGGCTGTGCTCCAAGCAAGATCTCAGGGCCGGCGCCTGGGAAGCTGGCATCTCATCTGGGCGCTGGTTTGAGTCCCGACTGCTCCACTCCCTGCGCATGCACCTGGGGAAGCCACAGAGGATGGCCCACTACTCCCACGTGGGGGATGGCCCAAGTTCTCCCATGTGGGAGACTGCAATGGCGTTCCAGGCTCCTGGCTTCAGCCTGACCCAGCCCTGGCCAATGCAGCCATTGGGAAGTGAACCAACAGATGGAAGATCTCTCCCTCTCTCTCTCTGTCTCACCTTCTCTCTCTGTAACTCTGCCTTTCAAATAAATAAACAGAAAAGAAACCTTTTTTAAAAAGCAATCGAACAGGCTCAAGACAGGCGGGGGTCATGTGGGAGGTCTTCAGTACGAGGGCCACAGGGGACCGTCAGCAATGCCCGGGTCCCAGGTCAGCACGCTTGCTTCCCTCCAGCTTTGGGGATACCTGCTCCCCGGGCATCATTTCTTCCACACGGAGATGTCCCTTTTTTATTTTATGGTGTATTAACAGATACAGCAAGTTCAGGGCCAGTTCTATGGCGTAGCAAGTTAAGCCACTGCCTGTGCCAGTTTGAGTCCTGGCTGCTCCGCTTCCTATCCAGCTCTCTGCCAGCAGCCTGGGAAAAGCAGAAGATGGCCTGTTTGGGCCCCGCCCCCTACCTGGGAGACCCACATGAAGCTCCTGGCTCCTGGTTTTTTTTTGTTTTTTTTTTTTTTTTTTTGACAGGCAGAGTGGACAGTGAGAGAGAGAGACAGAGAGAAAGGTCTTCCTTTGCCGTTGGTTCACCCTCCAATGGCCGCCGCGGCCGGCACGCTGCGGCCGGCGCACCGCGCTGATCCGATGGCAGGAGCCAGGAGCCAGGTGCTTTTCCTGGTCTCCCATGGGGTGCAGGGCCCAAGCACCTGGGCCATCCTCCACTGCACTCCCTGGCCACAGCAGAGGGCTGGCCTGGAAGAGGGGCAACCGGGACAGAATCCAGCGCCCCGACCGGGACTAGAACCTGGTGTGCCAGCGCCGCTAGGCGGAGGATTAGCCTAGTGAGCCGCGGCGCCGGCCCTGGCTCCTGGTTTTGACCCAGCTCAGTCCTGGCCATTGCAGCCATCTGGGAAGTGAACCAGCTGATGGAGGATCTCTCACTCTCTGTGTGTCTGTCCTTCTCTGTCCATAACTCTGACTTTTTTTTTTTTTTTTTTGACAGGCAGAGTGGACAGTGAGAGAGAGAGACAGAGAGAAAGGTCTTCCTTTTTGCTGTTGGTTCACCCTCCAATGGCTGCCACGGCCGGCCCGCTGCGGCTGGCGCACCGCGCTGATCCGAAGCCAGGAGCCAGATGCTTCTCCTGGTCTCCCATGGGGTGCAGGGCCCAAGCACCTGGGCCATCCTCCACTGCACTCCCGGGCCACAGCAGAGAGCTGGCCTGGAAGAGGGGCAACCGGGACAGAATTGGGCGCCCCGACTGGGACTAGAACCCAGTGTGCCAGTGCTGCAGGTGGAGGATTAGCCTATTGAGCCGTGGTGCCGGACCATAACTCTGACTTTCAAAGTCAATATACATCAACCTTTTCTTTACAAAGAAGAAAGCACCAAGGCTTCTGAAAACAGGGCTTTGGGCGGGATACGGGGATTACAAGGAGCGAGGCGGCACCGCCACTCTGAGGCTTGAGAACCGGGCTGGTCTCTGTGAGCTTCAGTGGAAAAGGCACCGGAAGCCACGTCCCATGCAGTCCAGGCCAAACAGGGGCTGTGGATGCGGGAGCAGCCGTTTGGGGGTCTAAGCTACTCAATTCAGCCATCTGTTGAAACACACCAACGCACCAAGGATTCCCACTTTCCTGGGCCTCTCAGTACATACACAGAATCAGGCCTGCATGGTGACTGGCTTCACTGATATCCCAAACCCTCCAGCACCCCTGAGGATGCTGGGCAGGGGGAACTGGCTGGTAGCCAGCGCACCCAGGGTCTTGGGGATGGAAGTGAGAAAACACAAAGCTGGCTTGGCTCTCCTGGACAGCCGAGCTGCGTGGGGTGCACTGGATCTCAGAGTCCTATTCCTGAGTGATGCATGAGGCAGGGGCCTAGTGGGATCCAGGCAGAAGGGAGGCCGGCCTGCAGGGCAGCCCAGGTTGGAGAAATCCCTCATCTAAGCAGCTCAGTGCAAGGAGGGAGTGAGCACTCAGAGTCCACAGCTCAGAGGCCAGGGCTGTAGCCTCCAGTTCCACGGGCCGTGCTCCAGTGGCTACCAGGTGACCCGCGGCAGGCCCAGAGCTCAGGAGCCACCAAGCTGCAACGGGAGAGCCATCATCTTTCCACAGTGCACTCAGGAGGCCCCACGGGAGGGAAACCACATTCTGCAGGCTTGGGGTAGCTTGAGGGGCCCAGGCGCTGGGATCAGATAAGGCAAAGGAAAGTTTTCTTCTCAAAAATAGCATCCATTGTCTGTTTGTGTTTTGTTCCACGCTCAGGGCAGCCAGAGTTCTGGGCATGGTTTAGCCCAGGGTCAAAGGGTCAGATCCCGCACCAATTTGGGATCCTGGGTTCTCAGACACAAGGGTTAGCAACAGTTGAGAGTGAAAGGACCAGAGGAACCAGGTAAGCCAAGAAGATGACAGGGATGGCAACAGAAAGGCTTGTCGGGGAGAAAGCTGGTGGACAGGGGAAGCTCCGTGCAAACTCCACACGCTCGTCCCTCCGGGAGTCAGACAAGCACCTGCACAGGGCTGTCTGGAAAATCAGGCCGAGAGCGGCCTGGGCCCGCCTGACACCTGGGTGATGCCCGCCAAACACAGGGCGCCCAAATCCGCACAACCGCATAACCACACTGCCACCCAGTGTTCATTTTGGGAAGAGCGACTTTGCTGTCCACAGGGATGTAAGTTCCTAAACACCCCCCGAGCCATCAGAAGCCTTTCAGTGTTAAGGAGGAGGAAAAACATGGCACTTTCAAAATTCCAAAGAATTCCTGCAAGCATCTCGCAAGACGTCAAGCAGGTGCGTGACCAGTTTTTTTTTTTAATTTTATTTATTTATTTGAGAGGAAGTTACAGAGAGGGAGAGACAGAAAGGTCTTCTATCCACCAGTTCACTCCCCAGATGGCCACAACGGCTGGAGCTGAGTCGATCTAGTCAGGAGCTTCTCCCGGGTCTCCCACGCGGGTGCAGGGGCCTGGTACCTGGGCCATCTTCCACTGCTTTCCCAGGCCATAGCGAGAGCCGGATCGGAAGTGGAGCAGCCAGGACTTGAACCTGTGTCCATATGGGATTCCGGCGCCACAGCGGAGGCTTAGCCCACTACGCCACAGTGCCAGCCCAACCACGTTATCTTTAAGGTTCCTTTAGCTCTACTTGACACAAGTGTGATCATCAGGTTCCTTTTTGAGAGATGTCACTCACGAGCCGGCCCTCGCTTCTCAGCCTGATCGATCTTCAGGGTGCTTAGGGTAGCACTGTCCTGTCTGGGACTCCAGGGGTTCCTGGGCCCTGGACTTCAGTGCAATAACTGCAGGAGTCACGGGCAAACAGGACAAGGGATCACTCCTAGCTTTAGCAGAGCCAGGTATGTTTTTACCAAAGCCGGTCTGCTCCTGATGGAGCAGATAAATGGGGCCATGAGCCATGGGGTTTAGGGTCCTGGCCTGGCTAGCAGTGGCTCGAGCAAGCTGAGGCGATCAGAAAGCAGTGGCCCTGCCCAACGCCCAGAGTTTTCTTAAGTCCAGGAAACCAGGATCCATCAAGAAAAAAAAAAAATGAGGAACCGGGCACCTGTGCCTCCTAACTGGGCGATTGATGGCACGTGTGCAGCTGTCGGAGTTAGTGACTTAGAAAAACTCAACGTGGAAGCGAACTCAAGAGGAAATCAGGACCCCCAACGATTGTTCAAATCCTCAGGATGGCTCATCCCTCCCCAAAACAGATTCTGGGCTTCGGCAGCTCAGAGCAAACTCTGATCGTCACGATGCTGCCACCTTGGGGTTTTCTGTAGCCACTGCAAGGTCTCCGCCTTAATACGACCTTGAGAAGCAATGCTGGTTTCTCCAGCTACAAAAAGTCCAAGTACATCATCTTCTGTCTCGTGTCTTTTGTGTGCCTTAATATACTGAAGCACCTGTATGCTGAGAGACCTCAAACGTGAATGCTAGGTGCTACTGACCTCGGTTTAAAGAACTCCTTGCAATGAGTGGATGCAATGAGTGGATGCAATGAGTCTTTAAGGGCTGAGCCGAAAAGGTACTTGCGCTCACTTTGCTGTCAACAAGACTGCACTCTTACAGGTGATAAAAAGACAAGACAGGGGCCTGTGTGGTGGCCCGGTGGGTAAAGCCGCCCCCTCGGGCACCGGCATCCCACATGCGTGCCTGTTCCAGTCCTGGCTGCTCCACTTCCAACCCAGCTCCTCAATAATGCCCCGGGAGGCAGCAGTTGATGGCCCAAGCGCTTGGGCCCCTGTCATCCAGGTGGGAGACCCAGGTGGAGCTCCAGGTTCCTGGCTTTGGCTTGGCCCAGCCCCAGTCTTTGCATCCATTTGGGGAGTGAACCAGCAGATGGAAGATTCTCTCTCTCTCTCTCTCTCTCTCTTTCCCCGCCCTGTCTCTGTAACTCTGCCCTTCAAGTAAATAAATCTTTAAAAAGAAAAGCCAGGAGAGACACTTCTGAGCTTGCCCTTAGTTAACAGTGAGCAACACGAATCTCCCAGCAGTGATGATGTAACAGTGATGACGATGCATCATGGAACGTGAGGCATCAGACAGAATTCATGGGCGCCCTGAAAAGACAGGTGATCACGCCAGCAGGGCTGGCTCACAGAGGCAGGCAAGGCCCTGGCCAGCCGGACACTCCTGCCACCAAGACAGGAAGCCAGACACAGGCGTGCTGGACGATGCACAGCCTTGCAGGGTCTGGAGCAGCAAGGCTGGCACGCGAGGCTGACGGAGGGACACGCTCCAGCCACCCACGGGGGTACGACACAGGGAGGTGCTTCCTGCTGGCCATGCACAGTTGGAATTGCATTCTCCATCATTGGCCTATGGTAGAAGCCCAGTGTTGGACTCCCAGGCAGTAGGGAAGGACCGATGGATGTATGTTTCCTATAACCTCCACCTGCCACGCCCAGTGGGGCTTAGCTCTGGGGGCAGGCACAGAGCCTAACAAACCCCTATAGCTCGTTTCGAAGCCCCTCGCCAACATTATCACTGAGATCAGAGAAGCTACTACAAGGATGCAGGTTAAAGGGCAGGTGCCTGGCCTAGCAGCTGCACATCCTCGTCCTGCGCCAGAGTGAGTACCTGGATTCCTGTCCCAGCTCCGTTTCCAGTTTCAGCTTCCTGCTAATGTGCACCCGGGGAGGCAGCAGGTGATGGCTCAAGGACTCACCCGGGAGACCTGGATGGAACTCCCAGCTCCTGGCTTTGGCCTGGCCCAGCCCCAACTGTTGCAGGCATTGGGGGAGTAAACCAGTAGATGGGCGATCTCTCTCATGTGTATGTCTGTCTGTCGGTCTGTCTCCGCCTCTCCAGTAAGTTAAATGTCACGTTTTAATGCATCACACAAGACCAGCTTCAGCTCATTCTTCACTTTAGAAAGACTCTGACACCACCCACTGCCAGGAGAGCCACAGCTCCCTAAGCTGCTGGCCACCCAAGGCCATCGGGGATGGGGGAAGACAGTGCAGCTTCCTGTCCCCCATGCTGGCCAGGCACGTGGCCAGAGGACAGGGGAGCCACCAGGGGTCAACCCTCCATGCTGTGAAGCACAAGCGTGGGGTGGGGGCTGCCCCCGGGGTAGGGCCGGGGAAGGGTCCTTGGCTGCGCTGATTTCCCTCTCCCTGTCTCTCTTCCTTTCCCACTCCTTGAGTCTCTCCGAGGGCGTCCCTCCCCCTGGTCCAGAGAGGACAAGGCAGAACAGGGGGAAAAGACAAGGACAGGCGCTTTGGGGGTGGTCACTGGGCCCTCTGTGGGGTTACCCATGGGGCCGCAGGCTTCCTGGTGACCAAGGCTGCATCAGGGCCTCCCGGGACCTCTCCTGAACGCCCAGGCTCCACTGTCAGCCAGCGTTACAGCTGCTATGGAGACTGCTCTGAGGAGCAGAGGCCTCCCTGGGACTTGGCCGAAGGAGCCGGGGTCGGGGGAGGGCGTAGACCCCAAAAACGAGGACGACAGTGGACAGGCCCCAGGAGGAGCCCGGGCTCGCTGGGGTGCGTTGGCAGTGGCTGCTCATCCTCCTGGGTCTCGCGTGCCTCTTCCTGATGTTTTTCTCCCACGACTGGAAGTGGGAGTGAACTCTCTCAGCCCCTGGCCCCAACGCCAGGCTGCGTGCATGGGACCCAGCGGGGTGAGAGGCAGCTGGGGACCACAGAGTTGGGACTGGGCCTCGGGGCCAAGTCATCAGCTCAGGGAGGAATCGGAAGCCAGGGTCTGGACCCCGGCTCAGCGCAGACCTAGGTCGGAAGGAGCCCCAGCCGGCTCCAGGATTTGGGTCCCTGCACCCACGTGGGAGACATGAATGGAACTCCCTCCAGCTCCCGGCTTCTGCCAGGCCCGGTCCCGGCCATTGCAGGCATCTGGGGAGTGAACCATCACATGGAAGATCTGTGTGTGTGTATCTGTGTGTGTGTGTGTGTGTGTGAGAGAGAGAGAGAGAGAGAGAAATAAAGTGAGTCCTGGCTAGGACAGTTTTTACAAATAAATAAATGAGTGGGCTGGTGCTGTGGCATAGTGGGTTAATGCCCCAGCCTACAGCACCAGTATCCTATATGGGAACCGGTTAAAGTCCCGGCTGCTCCATTTCCAAACCAGCTCTTTGCTATGGCCTGGAAAAGCAGTAGAAGATGGCCCAAGTCCTTGGGCCCCTGTACCTGTGTGGGAGACCTGGAAGAAGCTCCTGGCTCCTGGCTTTGGATCAGCTCAGCTCTGGCCATTGTGGCCATTTGGGGAGTGAACCAGCAGATGGAAGACCTCTCTCTCTCTCTCTCTCTTTCCCTCTCTCTCTCTCTGTAACTCTGTCTTTCAAATAAATAAAGCAAATATTTTATTAAATAAATAATACATGGAATTATAATACTGGGCGACACTCCAGCCCCTCTCCATCCCAGGCCCTGGTACGCCCCCTCTGAAGGTCACATGGACCACTCAGGGTTAAAACGCTAGACCAGGTACAGAGCTGCAGCCCTGCAAGCCTTGGGCTGCGGGGGGGGGGGGGGGGGGTTCTGATGTAACCGCAGCCACACTCCTACGGATCAAGGCATTGCTTCTGCTTCCTGAGAAGCCCTGGTGATCAAATGCTTCACCGAGAATAGAATGGAGCCAGAGGAGGAAGGGGGCGGAGGGGTGCGCTGAGTCTCACGTGCACGTGTGTTTTCCCCGCAGGATCCGTGAGTGGGTTTGGTTTTCAGTCCTGTGCACAGCTGCAGACATTGCACATCACAGCAGACGCGAGTTTTGGTTTCCTCTGCTCAGGAGGGAGGTGCTCCCTGCCCCGTCAGAGACAGGACAGCCAACAGCACTAATTACCTCTCCTGGCAGGGCAGCCTAGAGTGCAAACTTTAGCCACTGCTTTTGGAAAGCATCCTGCTCATCACCCATGCAAGATGAAAGAGGAGCAGCCAAGGAGGGGAAGGAAGCAATGGGGGGCCCAGGGTGGACTCTTGCAGCCCTCAGGGGCTGGAGCAGCTCTGCCAAACCTGGCTTGGATACTCCCGGAGGTGAAGGGCCAGTCTCTCCCTGCAGAGCCGGGGCCCAGTAGGATCACAGAGCACACTCTCACCACGAGGACAAGCAAGCACAAGTCCCCAGCTGGGCCCCCTGAAGCCCCAAACACTCCAAAGCAACTCCATTCAGAGATCTTGCAAAATCCAAACAGGATGCAAACGGCTGAGCTTTGATCCTGCAGGAGGGGGAGGAAATGTTCTTCTCCCAGGCCAAGAGCCTTGCTCAACAGTTAGAAAGCCCAGTTCCTGGACGCGCCGCGGGGCTGCTTACCCAGAACGCCGCTTTCCTCCGCGGGCGGGCACGGCCCCTGCCATCCTCACCTGTCCAGAGGCCGCCACGGGGGCCACAGGCAACACCACCGATCCTGGGATGTCAGAAGCCATTTCTGGAATGCAGCACAGAGAAGAGGTGTTGTCAGGGCCAGGAGATCCCCAGGAAACAGGAGCAGCATGTGGCGGGGGGTAGGGGGCGGCCCCTCCGACTGGGCTCCCGCAGGCTGCACTGTCCATCAACAGGACTCCCGTACTCAATGCTGGCAACAGTGGCTACAAAGACTCAGTGCAGTTTTAGCAGCTTCTATAAGGGATGTCTGTGTCCTGGTCCTCCAGGCACAAGGAAGGCACAGAGCAGCCTGGGCTGCATGGCCAAGACCTGGGGTCGGGGTGGGGGTAAGGGGACCCACCACTGCTGGATGCACTCCGAGAGCCAGGGCCCTGCATCAGCCTTGCCCTGGGTGACAAGTTAAAGCATCCAAGCTGGCCCCACCCTCAGTCTGGACTCAGAACCCGTGCGTCCTGGAGCCCTGCTGGCCCCTCTGGTCAAGAGCAGGATGGTGCGTCCAGAGCAGGTGAAAGACCCACTCCAGGCGGCACCAGGAGCCAGGGACCACAGCAGACGGAGGCGCCCTGGCTCGCCATAGCCAAGCCTTTCCAGGAATGTACACTGATTTAAAGACCAAGAGGAGCAGTAGATGAAGAAACCCTTCCCACAAGTCATGGCTAACACATGGTATCTTACAAGCCAGACCCCCAAGATCACGGGCAGCATCTCGGAAACCACTCGGTTAAAAGGTTTCTGCTGTCCATCCCAGGGCAAGGTCAGTACTGGACGTGGTGGTGGTGTTCTTGGGAGTGACTTCCTCCCCGTTCGCTTTTCTGAGCTCAATTCTCACCCACCCACCGCAGAAGGGAAGCACCAGCCTACAAAGTATCTATTTCAATAAGACAAGTTCAAGGTCCATATGGAGACCTGGGCCCCCGCTGATGAGAAGGGGCGCCTGGTGACGGGGGCGGTGCACCTGCTGCACTCGCTGACTTCCGGGGGTGCGGGTGGGGGAATCCAGACAGCCGTGTGGCAGTCACCCCACATTTACAACCACGGACACTGTGCTTCAGAAACACGTTCAAAGTCCAGCTCGAGCCATTACACTCACAACTCTTGAAGAACTCTTCTAATAAACAAAATCTTGACTCAGCCGCCTCGCTGTGCTCGTTCGACTTTGAGAACTATTACAGATTTTTGTTTTGTTTGTTTAACCAATGTGCAAATTGAAAAGTACTCCGGAGGGGAGGGAGGAATGCCTTCTTCAAAGCGACTGTCTCCTCTTTCATAAGCATTGTACGGGCTTGCAGTAGCTAAGCCATGCGAATGGCAATGATCCAACCACCTTATTGCCTGCCTACTTCTGATAAGAAAGCTACTTTCTTCTTTTGAAACATGTCCACATTAAGTCCCCAAATTGAAGGGCATGATTGTTGCTGCAGCAAACACAGCTGAAAATAAAAAGTCACTGCTTATTAAAATAAGTTCCATAGAACAGGAGTCCTGGAAGGTTCTCTAGGGAAGGAAGCCCTAAGGTGAAACAAGTCAGGAAAAGCTGTGAGTTTAATCCCTTGCTTAGAGATTCCAACGGTCATGAAAACACACCGAGGAGTCGTGAGGGAAGGAGCTTTTTTAACTCTGCTTCTCTCTGCATGTCATAAACGTCCCTCGTGGTGCAAAACTCACCAAGTGTATTAGCTGCTCAGCTCATGTCCCACCCACACTCTGCAGTTTAAAGCCAGCTGCCTCCCTCTCGCCTCTGAGTTGAGGAAACTCCGGGCTGGAAGAGATCTTGACTGAGTTGAGTTTGCAAAAGCTAGAAGGGTTCGTCCCTTCCCTGTCCCAACTACCTTCCTGCTCAGCGTGGGAGTGGGTGAGGCGGGAGTATGCTAGGTGAATGGCACTCGTGAATCTAATCTCGCGAGAACACAAAAATGCCTGTTGTGCCGCAATACCAGTAGCACAGCCTTGAGTGCCCCACGGAAGGATGAGGACCACCGAAATCCAGCCCATTCTCAGGCAGAGCCGGGGAGCCACACGAAGGCAGTGAAGGCGGATCACACGGGCGCCCCCAGTGGGCCAGGGCCTGGGGCAGACCAGAAGCAGACCCATCTGCTCAGCCTCCCAGCCAAAGGGCCACCCTCCTGAGCGCAGGCACACCCTGCCTGTACCAGGTCGCGCTGGGCACCCTCGGGCCCTCCATGCATTGTGCACGATACCACGTGTGGTCGACAGGTTGGCTCAGGTGGGCTCTCCCACAGAGAAGTCTCACACGTGTCAGTCAGGCATCACGCTCAGAGAGAACTCAATCATGCCTGTGCCAGGCATCCAGTGCCCCAAGGGGCACAGCAAGAGGGGCGGCTGGACTGAACACATGAACACACCACACAACCTAAAAACGAGAGGTGCACACGGGTCCCCAGCTAACAGAGGCAGGGGTTTGCCCTCCCCAAAACTGTCCCAGATTATTTCTTAGGGACGTCTGACTCCTTCCAGTTCTGGCTCTCCTCTGCTGACTTGCATTTGCCTGCCTCGTTCTCATTCCTCTACAGAGACCCCAGGGCAACTTCCTTACCCAGATCACTTCTTTCTTGTAATAAAGAAATGAGAGCGTTGCCGTGTTTCCTGAAAATGTAACATTTCCCCCAATCTCTTGCCTTTTTCATACCTTAAGATTCTGTCCAGTACTACAGGAGGCTGTTTTTTTTTTTTTTTTTTTTTTTTTTTTTACAGGCAGAGTGGACAGTGAGAGAGAGAGACAGAGAGAAAGGTCTTCCTTTGCCGTTGGTTCACCCTCCAATGGCCGCCGCGGCTGGCGCGCTGTGGCCGGCACACTGCGCTGATCCGATGGCAGGAGCCAGGTGCTTCTCCTGGTCTCCCATGGGGTGCAGGGCCCAAGCACTTGGGCCATCCTCCACTGCACTCCCGGGCCACAGCAGAGAGCTGGCCTGGAAGAGGGGCAACCAGAACAGAATCCAGTGCCCCGACCGGGACTAGAACCCGGTGTGCCGGCGCCACAAGGCGGAGGATTAGCCTAGTGAGCCGCGGCGCCGGCCTTACAGGAGGTTTTAATAAGTTAGAGTTGAGACAAGATCAATGATCCCAACACCATTGATCCAGGAGTCCCCTCCTTTCCCCCATAAGATTTTTTGTTGCTGCTTCCTCTACCTTATTTTTTTCTTAGTTCTAGAATATCTATTTATTTTAAAAATACTTATTTATTTGGAAGGCAGAGTGAGAAAGAGAGGGAGAGATAGAGAGAGATCGCCCATCCACTGGCTCACTCCCTGATGGCTGCAACAGCCAGAGTCTCCCACATGGGTGCAGGGGCTCAAGAACGTGGCCCATCCTCTGCTGCTTTCCCAGGTGCGTGAGCAGGGAGCTGGACAGGAAGTGGAGCCACCCTGCACACAGCCCCATCTAGGATGCCTATGTCTTTGTCAAGTGTCTGGTCATCTGTATTTGCTCTAGCATTGTACTTTATGACATATTTGGTGACGTACGTTTCTCTGAGTACTTACTTTCCAGGATTCTTTTTTTTTTTTTTTTTGGTTTATTATGCCGCTTAGATATTTGACTTAATTTAAGAGGCAAAATTTAATACAAAACTTATTTAAGGAAGGGACATCTCATTTTATCAAATGCCAGTTTGGTGATTCAAAGAAGATTCTAGATACCAAGTAAACACATGGAAGATGCAAGAATGAACTAAAACTCACTTTAAAAGTTCAGCAGATGGGGCGGGCGCTGTGGCCCAGCAGGTAAAGCCTCCACCTGCAATGCCGGCATTCCATATGGGCACCGGTTCAAGTCCCAGCTGCTCCACTTCTGATCCATCTCTCTGCTATGGCCTGGGAAATCAGCAGAAGATGGTCCAAGTCTTTGGGCCCCTGCACCCACGTGGGAGACCTGGAAGAAGCTCCTGGCTCCTGGCTTCGGATCAGAGCAGCTCCAGCCATCGCGGCCAACTGGGGAGTGAACCAGTGGATGGAAGACCTCTCTCTCTCTCTCTCTCTCTCTCTCTCTCCTTCTCTCTCTGTATAACTCTGACTTTCAAATAAATAAATGTCTTTAAAAAAAAAGTTCAGCGGAAGCAGGTGTCTGGCCTGGCACTGAAGCTGTAGTCTGGGAAGGCCACATCCCACATCTGGGCGCCTGGATTTGAGTCCTGGTTCTGCTGGGAGCTGACAGCACAAATACTAGGGCCCTGGGTTAAATTCCCAGCTCCCGGCTGTGACCAGCTGTAGCGTGCATTTAGGGGAGAGAACCAGTGAAAAGGAGATCTCTCTCTCTCTCTCTCTCTCTCTCTCTCTCTCTCACTCTGCCTTTCAGATAAATCATAAAATACTAGAAGTTAGTGCTTTCTCTAACATTGGCTTTTTGGTGCTACCGTTAATAAATTCAAAGGAAGTAAAACACTCATCTGTCTCCTGAACACGCTACGTCTGCTCTCCGTATTCCTGGGAAAATTACCCACCTGCTTCCCAAAGCTGGCGACTCCTCTCTCTGACTCAGGTCCTGGGACACCCACCTGGTGAGCAAGGTGGCCAGAGAGGACCACCGGCCAGGCCAGAGGGGAGAGTCCCAGAGCCGGGGCCAGGTATCAGCGGGAGCAGAGGGAGCTAACTGTGCGGGAATCCTCACGCTGCCGATTCGTCGCAGGGTTCCTGAGTCCCACTCGAAGCAGGGACAGGGGGAACCTGAGCGTCACATCGTGGAGGGCGGGGATCACACCCCGACACCTGCGCAGGGACTGCCACGCTCCACACACACAACTACAGCCATGCTGGAAGGCCACTCAGCGATATCTCCAGGAGACATTAAAATATCTGGGCCTTCAGCAGGATCTGAAAAAGTGTGTGTGTGTGTGTGTGTATAAATGCATGGAGGTAGAATTAAAATATTAAGTTTACTTTGGTGCAAAAAATTGAAATTCATGCATGTTTTATAATGCACCTTGTCAATGAACTCTCGAAGACCCCTTGCATGCATGGATTTCAAATTTCAATTTTTTGCATCAACATAAAATTACCCATTAATTACATTTTCCATGAACTTTCTGAGGCAAGCTCACACTTGTGTGCACAGGGCAGAGAGAAACCCCCCGATGAGCTACACATGCACGCTTCTGTGGCGGGACGTGGAAGTGGGTTTTATTTTCTCCCTTCAGCTTTTTTTTTAAATTTTCTAGGTTTCTTTCTTTTTTTTTCCTAACCCAACGAACATGTGTTAACTTAATGCTAACTTAATGATATGTTGATTGAACGATCACAGGTAGAATAACAACTACTTCTAAGGAGTTTCCTGTGGAAGAGAGAACAACGCTGGAGAGCAGAGGCAGCTCTCAACAGCAAGAGCACCAGCCCCAGAAGAGACGGACGTAGGAAAGGGAGAATGTGGGGTCAGCAAGGTGCTACAGCGGGTTAAGCCACCGTCTGCACCGCCGGCATCTGATATGGAGCCCCGGCTGCTCCGCTTCCGAGGCAGCTCCCTGCTAATGCACTTGGGCAGCCAGCAGATGGTGGCCCAAGTGCTGGGGGCCCCTGCATCCACGTGGGAGACCCGGAAGAAGCTCTTACTTCCTGGCTTCAGCTTGGCCCAGCCCTGGGCAGCCATCTGGGGAGTGAACCAGAGGATGCAAGATTCCTCTCTCTCTCTCTCTCTCTCTCTCTATCTCTCTCTCTCTCTATCTATCTCTCTCTCTCTCTCTATCTCTCTTTCCACATTCCCATAACTGACTTTCAAATAACTAAATAACATACATATTTGAACAATTTTTTAAAATCATGGTAAGATTTTGGGTGAACTAAGATTGAAATCGCACTGCGCCACCCTCTCTACATGTGTTTTACTGCCCACTATACAGTAGGCACGAAGTCATTCCACCTTACGCACCAGGGAAGGCTGGGCAGGGCCAGGCCAGGGCTACACACAGGAGGGCCCTCGCCCCCCAGCCCCACCCCCACCCCCACCCAGGGAGCAGGGCTGGGCAGCCTGCGTGTGCCCAGAGCCAGCGTGTGCACGGGGCTGCTCATCACACACCCAGCTGCCAACGCTCTCCCTGCCTCTGTCTCAGTGTGGACCACAGCTGGGTAGCTGGGCTTCGGCTTCTGTGTCTCCAGAGTGCAGAAGACAGGGAGCAGGAAGGGCGTGCACGGGAAAGAACCCCTGCTCATGCCCAGGACTGCCCCACAGGAGGGGCTCCTCGTGGGCCCTCTGCACCAGCACCGCCTTTATGCAGGGACCGGTCCTCAAGGCACAAGCAGGCCCCAGACCTCGGCCAGGGGCCCCGGCCAGGCCCCAAGCCCACCCTGGGGCAGAGCTGACGATGAGCTGTTGGCTCCTGCCTCACCCCTCTCTTCCCAGGGCCACACACACACACGTCATGAACATACACCATACACAACATATATACACATACCAAATATGAAATCATACACCACATACATACAACACAAACATGCATTGCACACACACAACACATACTACATGCATCACACACACTGTACATACACATCACACACACCATGTACCTATGCACACCAGATACATATACGTGTTAAACCCATTGCACATACCACACATAAACACACACCAGACATTACACACACCATAGATACCACAGGCATACGTAACACACAGCACATATACTTCATACACACACATCACATGTACACACACACACGATGGCTGTTTCTCTCTGGTGAAACACACACCATCACCCCAGCAGGAGCTGCTCCTTACAGGGAGGGGCGCACCTGCTCCAGTCCCAGCCCCTTCAGGGCCAGCGATGGAAGCCAGGGGCCCCAGGTGAATCATCCAGCCCCTGTGGCTCCCAGGGTCGCAGCAGAGATGTGAGTCACAGTGGGGACCCTAATCGTGAGTACCCACGCCCTGGTGAGGCTGCCGCCCACAGAGAGGCCAGGCACCTGGGGCAGCACACACATGTGCACACACACACATGCAGTGACAGCAACAGCACCCGGTCACAATTCCTGTCAACTCTGAGAACAGATGCAGAACTTCCCAACCACAGGGAGACGTCCGGGACGGCGGCACCGGGCCGCTCCCCTGCTCCCCTCACCACCTCCTCCCTGCCGGCCCTCTGTGTCCCCAGTGCCCCCTCCCAGGCCTGGAGCCCCTCTCCCAGATCTCAGGGTGTCCCCTGCAGGCTCCCCTCTTCTTCCGTGCTCCCCAGGCACCAGCACCCCCATTGGCTGATGACTCCCAGATCTGCTCACCAAGTTCTGCTGTCACCTCCCCTCTGGGAGAGCTCTGGCCTGCCTCGGGACCCCTACTCAGTCTTCCAGCACCCACCCAGACCCTCCCAATTGTTCCCCCACTGGGCAGCCAGATCTGACCAGGTCGGCTGGCAGTGCCCAGCCATGCTCGGCCAGTTCTGCTGCCCCGTTCTCCAGCTCCAGCCACACCTTATACCCCCCCCACCTCAGGGCCTTTGCACGTGCTACGCCTTTTTGCCACAAGGCCCTTCTCCCTTCTCTTCTAGTTCTTGCCAGCCATTTAGATTCCGCCCAAACATCGATTATCAAGGCAGCTCGTCCCCACCGCGGCCCTCCCCTGCTCAGCCTGGTGAGTCATCCCCAATGTACCTGCTCTTCTCGTGTGCACAGACGAAGGTCACAGCTGCCAGGTGAGACACGGCGGGGCCGAAGGGGACGGCCACAGCGACGGTGCTCGAGAGACAAGGGATGATGTCACCGTCTCAAAATACTAGTGCTGGTGTCAGAACCCAAACAGGGAGGACGGCAAACAGCCTTGGTCACCTGGTCCTCCCACACTGCACAGGGCAAAAAAAAATCCCGGACGGAGGGGCCGATCGCCTATCTACACCCACAGCCGCACACGGGGGCCTCTCGGCAAGAAGAGGGAGAGCATCCCTCCTCCTTCCATCCGCACAAGCAGCAGGGGTCTGGCGCCATCGCTCCTGACTCGGTTTCCCCTCCTATCCCCTCCAGCACATGCCCTCCTTAGGCAGGGGCTGCTGTAAGAACACCGTGCTTGTTTTTGAGTGTGTGGTGCCCAGGGGGCTATGCTAGGAGCTGAACAATCGTCAGAGCTGGAAGGACCCAACCCGAGAGGTGGAGGATGGAGACACGTGGCCGGGTGACTCCACATGGAGAGCCGCGTGCTATGAGACGCACTGGACACCGCATTGTGGGGATGACTGGGAAGACCCAGGAGGGCTTCCTGGAGGAGGCCACACCTGTGCTCCCCTGGCAGTGGGCTGCAGAAATGCCAGGGGCAGAATGAAGCGCCTTAAGGATGCCTTTCCCTGAACGCTTCCCTGTTCACTTCCTGTCACTGAAGAGTTCTGACCTTTCACCCCACCCCCACCCCCGGCCACTCCCCGCAGATCGGGAGTCACAGCCTCACCTCATTTGCAACCCTCTCGTGTAGATCCTGGCACAGGGCCCCCGATCATAACTAACATCAAATGCACAGACAGAAATGCGTTCGGAGCAGCCCAGCCCCAGATGCAAACATGTGCCGGTGGAAGCTGTGACTTCCATCCCATTCAGGGACAGGGCGTGACCGTCTGACCTTAGACAAAGTTGCCAGCAGGTTCTGAGCTCATTTTAGAATCGGCACCAGCTAAGGATTTTGCAAGCTTCCTGCAAACACAGAAAATGTATCCATCTTCGGATGCCTCACCCCGCTACAGACTTTCAGATTGCAAACGCAGACATATTGTATAGAATTCCAATAACACGGCGGAGCCAAGTGCAATTCCAGGGGGAAATGGGAGAGTTTGAGAGAATACAGATGAAAGGCACGGGAAAGAACGGGAAAACGACGTTTTGTTCTCCCCGGTATTCCCTGGGAACCCAAATAAGAAAAAAAATAATCCCTGATCTTCGTTCTCATCGGGAAAACAACGAACGGCTCGCAAACTTCCCCAACAACGTGCAATGGTTTGATGCTCATTCAAATAAATAAATAGGGAGCCAAAAGGCTCGCTCTCTCCCGGTGGGTGCCTGGGGGTGAGGGGAGGCAGCTGAGCCGCTCAGAAAGAACTCTTCTCAACGTTCACCCTCTCCCGGAACAACTGTCTCCGCAGAAGCACATCATATATCACAACCCTACCTTTTCCGAGGGATTACACAAAGATCTTTCTTCTGTGGCCGACACCTTCTTAGAATCCGCTCCCCGTGCAGACGAAATGTCAGGAACCTCTGGGAGGAAGCGAAGTGCATCTGTATTCTGCTCAGAAAATGTCATCACAGATCTGTTTACCTTAACCGTGGACCATGATTCAGCTGTGACAACTGTCTTGCATACTGATCCACTTATTTGCAGCAGAAAAAAAAAAAAAAAAATTCCCAGTGTTAACTGCTTAGGTTCTGAAAAACCGGTTGCTTGGATTTCTCGTGCGACCGTGCCAAGCACACATTTGGAATATCTACATTGTTACCCAAACAGCATCCAAGGAAGCATGTTTCTCTGAGTGCAATGAAGGAGGAGAGTTCTTCTCGCTTCTGGATGGAAGACAGGGGCACGCACACACACGCACACGCACGATTCCCAAAGGCCCTCTCCCCCAGGGAGATATTTTAGTACAACACACGGAAAAAAACCACACGACTGGGACGCAGGGGACTCTAAGTGCAGGGTCTTTGCCCTGTGATCCTGAGACGTCTCCGGCCGACAGCAGGGCTGGGCTCAGAGCATCTTGATCAGGCAGCAGGTGACAGAAACAGGCCCGGCCAAGGAGAAAAAGGCCAGGTCCTGCCTCCCTCAGTCTGCGCACGGAGTCCTGGCCACCTGCCTGGGCCGCTCCTAGCATTAAGGGACAGGAGCCAGTCCCAAGGCAGCCTGGGATCATGTCGCCCAGCTAGCAGTGGTGGTGCAGGCAGAACCCCAGCCCCCCAGGGCCCCACTGGGCACTGTGCTGTGACCCGGGCAACCAATGTGGAGTCAGCACCCCTGCTCCCACTGGCGTCTGGGCCCGTGTCCTGCGGCTCCTGTGCCACCTGCTGGCTGCAGGCCCAGGGTCTCTGTCCCGGGCTTTCTAAAAAGGTAAACAGCAGAGACTCAGCAACCACCCATCCCAGCAGACAAAAGTACAGTCCAGGCTGTTTCTGGAGCAAGACAGCAAGGGGAGGCCCACACTCTACCTGGCCCTCTCTGGGAGACAGGTCTGACCGGGGGGGACCCCCCTTCACCCACTGTGAGCGGTCTCGTGCCTGGTTCACACCTAACAGCCTTGCACCGCCATGCAGAAGACAAGCACACACCTGTGTTGGACAGCTGGCTGCCCGGTGGACAGACTGCCCCAGGAAGGACTCAGAAGGGGCCTGGGGGAAAAATCCAGGCTGGGGTCTGAGTTTAGCCATGAGGAGCTCAGTGAGGCAGGACAGAGCTCTCTGGAGAAAGTGCAAGGTATGAGATGCTGGCGGGAAGGGCGCGAGGTGGGGTCTGAGCTCTGGGTTGCCACAGTTCAAGATACAAGAAAGCCGTGGGTAGGCGTATGACATAGTAGTTAAGATGCCACTTGGGACACGCGCAACCCTTGGCTGAGTCCTGGATTTGATTCTCAGCTCCACTCCTGATTCTGCCCCCCTGTTACCGTGCACCCTGGGAGGCAGCAGGGGACGGCTCAAATGGTTGGGTCCCTGCTATTCATGTGGGAGCCCAAGATTGTGTTCCTGGCTTCAGCTTGCTCCAGCCCAGGCTGTCATGGGCATTTTGGGGAATGAACCAGCCTATGGAAATCTCTCTCTAATAAATTAAATCAATTATATATATACATACATATACATATATGTATATACATGGAAAAGGGCCGTAGGATGGTGAAAGTTCAAATGTGACATTGAGGAGAACGAAAGACGCCCCTGAAAGACGTCCCTGAGGCAGAGGAGCCTGACACCGTCTCCAGTGCTTGCGGGGTCTTCCTGCACGGAAGCGAGAAGCCCAGGTCTCTATGACCAGAGCTGGCGGCTGCAGGGGGCAGAGGCTTCTTCTGATGGTTTCAGATATGAAAGGGGAGGGGACAAGGACTGACCCGGATGCACGCTGACCGTCCACTCACAGCTTGAAGTGGAAATCAAGTGAACTAACATGTCTGACATCAAGAGAACATTTGATTAATGTTGAATCAAAGAAAAACTGCTCAGCCATTAAATGTCACTCTTTCAAAGACTGATCCTATAGGAGCATCTAGGGACATGGAGAAGTTATGAGACAGAAAGTCTTTTACGAGCACATTGGCTGGGGAGCAGCCCAGGCTCAGCTTCAGCCACACCATCTACCCAATCTTATGCTTGGCCTCAGCTTCTGAACAAACGCCTTGGCCTTCGAAAGGATAATGAGTCCAATACCTATTTCAGGATCATTTCTGAGGTCCTGGAACTTGTACCTGATCAGTGATCATGAGCTACGTCAGTCAGGACCACAGCTGCACCTACAGGCTAACACCAGTGCTGTGTGCAAGGTGTACCACAGACACCTGCTGCCGTTCACGTCTGAACGTTCACTTTCAATGGTAAATACACCTTCTCGCTGCACTTAGATGCCAAATCTTATCTGTACATTTCAATTCTCCCGGTCAGATGCTTTATAAACTTACACGAATTATTACAAGAGTGAAATATGCAACAACTTAGGATCATATGGTAAACACTATTTTTTTTTATTATTTGACAGAGTTATAGACAGAGAGAAAGGTCCTCCCTCCGCTGGTTCACTCTCCAATGGCCGCCACAGCCGGCACTGTGCTGATCCGAAGCCAGGAGCCAGAAGCTTCCTCCTGGTCTCCCATGCGGTGCAGGGCCCAAGCACTTGGGCCATCCTCCACTGCCTTCCCAGGCCACCGCTCGCACTGCTGACTGGAAGAAGAGCAGCCAGGACTAGAGCCCGGCACCCATATGGGATGCCAGCACTGCAGGAGGAAGGTTAACCAAGTAAGCCATGGTGCCGGCCCCAAACACGATTAATTTTATGTGCAAAACCTATTAGTAAGAACTTTAGCAAATAAATGTAAAAGAAAATGGGAAAATAATACAAATATTAAGAGAACAGACAGATTAGCTTGCTGCTTTTACAAAAACTATTATATTCCTTCGAGCCAAGATGTATTGAGCTCCACGAAAAATTACACAAAGCAGAATAAGAGATGCTTAGAGTAGATCACAGTTCATATCTTTGTGGGATTATTTGGAATACTGGCCTTCATAACAATAAACAACCTTTAAGACTTAAAGTTTTAAAAATTTATTTCTGTTTAGCCCATGCATCTTTATTTTTTTAAATACGTACTTGTTTATTAGAAAGGCAGAGTTATGCAGAGAGAGGGAGACAGACAGTTAGAGGTACTCCATTTGCTGGTTCACTCCCCAAATGGCTGCAAGAGCCAGAGCAGGGCCAGGCCAAAACAAGGAGCTAAGAGCTTCTTCCAGGTCTCCCACGTGGGTGCAGGGGCCCAAGCACTTGGGCCACCGTCCACTGCTTTCCCAGTCACATTAGCAGGAGCTGGACTGGAAATGGAGCAGCCAAGACTCGAACCGGGACCCATTTGAGATGCCAGTGTCGTAGGCATAGGCTCAGCTGGCTGGGCCACAGCATCGGCCCCATTCATATTTCAAGGAAAAGTCTTACTTGGAAGCTTTCCTATCTTTACCAGGATAAGGTAATAGTCAGCTTTGTCAATATGCTACTTCAAAAATGCACAAGGAGTCAAAACTCCAACACTCCCCTGTAACCGACAGTAAATCAAGTCCGCGCAGAGAGAAGAAGACAGAAGACCTGCCAGGGAAGCAGGAGGCATCCCAGCATCTCATTTACCCTCCAAACTGAGTCACCAGTGAATGTCTGCTTAGCCTTGATGATACCACGGTGTGACTCCCCTGTCCTAGCTCTGCCCAGCAACACCCATCCCTGTCTCCCCTCCCTCGTCCTGCCTTGGGCTCCATATGGGGTTTGGTCCTGCCTTGGGCTCCATATGGGGTTTGGACTGCACCTCCCCAAGTTTCTCAACCACTGAGAAACTGGGGGAGGGAACCTCCTCATGTCAGAAGCTGAATGTCTGATGCAGGTGCCCACTCCCACCTGCTGGTCACCCCGTCATGACCGGGTAGCA